CCCCTTTCGTTTTCCTTGCCTGCAACTTTTCTTCCTTTCTCCCTATCTTCCTATATCTCATTTCTCGCAGGAGGTAAGGAGATCTGCTGCTCCTCCTTCTTTCAGACCCGCATCTCGGGGAACTTTCTCTTTTCTTTCCCAGCTTGTGACATCCCAGACAAATCTGAGCTGAAACCTCCCTTCTTCCTTGCTTTTAGAGTGATCTCTTTTCCTGCTTGTTTTTATTCTGGAGGTCTGCTTTGGGTGATGCACTCCCTGTGAAGCGGTGGTTTCTTATGTTTTGTTGTGCACCATTTTGTAGTCTTTTTAAACCCAAGTATGAAATTGTTCAAATTGTTGATTTTTGGTAGCTCCCAAAGTAAATTTGATTTAGCTGGACTGTGATGCAATTTTTGGTGGCTGTGCTGAGCTGTTTCATCTGCTGTTTAATACAAATTAGCTAATCTTAGCTGACTGCCTGATATTTGTTATTCTAGAGATTGTTACAAGTAAAAACCTCTGCCAAGCTGTGGTACTGAATTTTTGTGGATGGAGGGGAATCTGTACAGCCTGAGTGTGTCTGCATCAGGCTTGCAGCTCCATATTAGTAGTGAATTTAAAATCTAAAAGTCTTTCTAAAGTATCAACTGTTGCAGACTCCCTACCTTTCATCTAAATTGATGAAATTCTCCTTCTGAAGGTAGGGAGGCTGCCATGTTAGGCTTAAATGTTGTGGTAATCCTTTGTGTGTTGTCATATGGGGGGGGAAGAAAAGAAGACTGAAGACTTCTCAGCAAACGCCAGCCTACCTTGTGTTCTCCCTTCTCAGAGAGAACCCAGGGGCAGTGCCTCCCCTGTGTGCCTTAAGGTGACTCCTCGTGTGAAAAAACTTGGTGCTAAAACTTGGTGTGGTATTGCATTGTAGATAATCCAGGGGTAGTCTGTTTCCCATTACGCATAGTAATAACTCTTTTACTTTATAAAGTCAAATGAATTTTTGCCTAGAAGAGCATTTAGTGGATCATAATCAATGTGGGCACAAGTCTGACTTATAATTTAATGATAGAAAAAGATTTAAATTCTTAAAATGTGGTGTGAGAAATTAAAAGTGTGATAGCTCTTGGTAAAATAAATGTGCTTCAGAGGCTTCCTGTGTGAGATATAAAAAATGTTTTACAATGGAGAAACTTGTGAAATTTTCCAAAGTAATAGATGGCTGAAAGAATGTATGCTTGAGTTAAATTGACTATATTTATTACTTATTTCCTTAGACTAATCTTGGGTTGAAAAGGTAGTGTAAGCAAAGTAAGTAAGCAAAAAGAAAGATTCTTTGCTAAGGCAAGTGTTTAGTAGATTGGACAGTTGCAGTCTGCAAATAATTACATTATTCACTTGTCTTTCACTTTTAAAATTTTAAATCAGATCTGGCTTTTCTCTCTGTAATCTTAAAGCTGCAGTGAAAATGAACAGCTCTTGCTTTATTGCAGTTATTAAAGGGGATTTTAAAACAGGGTGCCCGATTATTTCCAGTTTATCTTCTAAGGTACACAAAGCTTACAAGTATGGTTTCTGTTAAATTTTGTTGGGTTAATCCTTTTGCCCTTCCACCCGCCTCTTCCTGTGCCATCATCTTGTTATAATAGGATGTTTCTGGTGGGGGTGTACCTACCCCAGTGTCTGACAGTTGTTCTTTTCCTTCCCTTAGGCTGATCTAACTGGGATTAAATGGAAGCGATATGTATGGCAGGGTCCAACATCTGCCCCAATTCTCTTTCCGGTCACGGAAGAGGACCCTATTTTGAGCAGTTTCAGTCGCTGTCTGAAGGCGGATGTACTCAGTGTTTGGCGCCGAGACCAGAGACCTGGACGCAGGGAGCTGTGGATATTTTGGTGGGGTGATGACCCCAACTTCGCTGACCTTATTCATCATGATCTCTCAGGTAGGAGGAAATTAGTACCTTCGTTTGGTCAGTGAAAGAATGCTGTTACTCAGGGCTGTCTTCTGCCAGAGCCCTTAGAAAATCTGTACTAGATGGACTGTTGTCTATAGATAAGATAAATTTATTGCTACAATCTACACCAAATTATTATGGAAGCACAGTGATCAAACAGCTACTGTCTGTGTTTAGGTGGTCTTGGACTGCTAGATTTTCAAGAAAGAAGTTTTTGCTCCCCACTTATTTCTTTTGAAAAAAACCAAGCCTATGAATTTTGGCAGCTTCTTCATGAGAAAGCTGTGCCTAAAGCTGTGCTTGTGATTCAGAAGTGATGTCTTAAACATGTTTTGATAAGATCCCTTTTGTTGGGTAATTAGAACTTTCAATTCAAATAGTAAACCCCATTTTATTTTGTAGTAAGAGTTGTAGAGATCTGGGCAACTCTTGAACCATATGGAGTTGTTTTGATGGGAATTCGAGTCATTGGTGAGAAGCCCTCAAAAGGAGGCATCTGAAACTAGCTTGCTGTTTTCGTGTAAGAATTTCTAAACCCTGTATTTTTATGATTTCTCTCTCCCCCTTTCCCAGTGCTCTGAAGAAGGTGTACCTGCTTTCAAACTTAGACTTTGTAAAGACTGACAATATTTGTATTTCTCAATAGTGTTGTACTTCAAATTTGGCAGCTTGTTTTGGAAGTGTTTACTTGATCCCAAAGTAGATGGCTTTCCAGTTGCTTATCAGTCAGATGCCGAAGTTAGGTTTTTAAACTAAGACTAGTGGTGAGACTGCACTAATTCTAGGGGGGAAAAAAAAACTCGCATCACTCCAATTTCCTTTCAAATAATGTACAGTATTGAGATTACTGAAGTGTAAAATGAGACTGAGGTTTGGTGACCTGGTAAGCAGAAATTGTTACTGTTGTCTGTGTTTGTGGATAAGCTGAAGAACAAATATGAGTTTAAAGTGCCGCTGAGGAAGTTGACTTGAAACAATTTAATAACATGTGGAATTTTGATACAAAAATAATATGATCTGAAAAACAATTGATGCACAAAAATGGTGTTTATTTCTTTGAATAATTCACTTCAAAGATTTGGATGTTGTTTGTATTCCTGTCTGTCCTGGAACTAGAAGCTTTGCACCTTAAATGGCACTTACGTTGTAGGCTGCTTGATATTTTGGCACATTTATGGCTTCCTTATTTTGCCCTATGAATAACCTGAGTCTTGACGTGCAGGGAACATCCTTTGTACGAATGAGATGTAACTTACACTAAGTGCTATTTTTGGCCTGGGTCTGCCCCGAGCAAAGACTAATACTTGTGTGAAGTATCTATGTAAATTTTGTATGCTGTTGGCTGGTGGGATTGAATTGAGACAAATATGTTACCTTTTTTTTTTTTGAGTGGAAGATGGAACAAAAATTGAACCATTTGGAGAGTGCATTTCTGCACTACCTGGCCATCAAAATTATTTGTTTGAGCAACTTTCTTTGCATTCTTTCTTTAATCTCTCTACTAGTGATATAGTGTAGAGGTACCTTTTGAAAACAGTGGTGTTTTGTAGCTGAACTTCTAGATCAGTGAGTGTTTTTGGTTTTATGGAATTACACTTTTGCGCAGGTAGATAAGCATGTATCATCCTAGGCACTTAACAACTCTTAACCTCTCTTAGGGTATAAGGGAGAGGTAGTAGGGGATTAGAGTCTCCCAGCCATGTCTTTGCAGTTGTTTGGGATGTTTTGTTTGTTTGGGTCACCTGTGGATGTCTGCACTTCAGTACAGAGGCTATTATTCTACACGTTTTGCTCATAGGTGTTTTTCTACATAAGTGCCTATCACTCTTGGGTCTGTTACCTATGTCTGTGTGCAGATGGATCTGACACCTTGGCTTTTGCAGACGTGTTTTTGTCTCCTTTTTTAATTAAAATGAGACAACATAATCTTTTAGAGTGTGTTAGTCTGCTTGGCTCTTCTGATCAGAACTTGATAAAGATATTAATCAGCTAGATTGTGGAGGAGATGGCTGAGGAGTACCTGCACTTTTTCTCTTTCCTGTTACACAAAATCTTAATGTGAACCTCATATAAGAAAGAATTATAGCTGAACCCAAACAATGTTATCTGACCTTTGTTATAGACCTAATGGATTTTTTTCACTGGTGAACAATTTCTCCTGGTAATTCATGTTGCCCTGCTCTCCCAATGATTGCTTGTTACATTTTCAATGGGAAAGATAAATTACTTCCTGGCAGAGGCTTGTTACCTGCAAAATTGATTGGAAATTGTTTGCTGCTGACGGTTAAGGTGCTGCCTCATTTAGAACTTTTCTACTTGGTAGGTGAAGAATTGTCCTGAAGAATGGGGTGAGGGAGGAAGAGAGAGGCTAAGAGCAGTCTGCTGCTGGTAGCCTGTCCTTTACTGCCTATGGACAGACTTCTCTTGGGGAAGAGCTGTAGTTAGAAATATGCCAGAGCAATGTTAACAACTTTTGATTTTGGCTTCCTTTGGTATGAAACTATGCCTGTTAAGGAGAGGTTGGTATTTTGACAGTTTTTTACTTTTTTTGGTGATTTGTAGTTCCAACGAACAATGGCCATTCAGTGTCTGGAACACATCTTGGTTATCAACCCTTGGGAATTTGAAATATGGCAGCCTTCAAGAATTCTTTGTCCCTTACAGAGTGCCTTCCCAAGATCACTTCAAGGGGAAACATACAGTTTTCTGGGTGTACATCTATGCATATCAGATTAAAAAAAAAAAATCTTCTCTCTCTTTCTCTTCAGCCTGTACATTCTAGAAGTTCATTCTCTGCCCTGGAGATATATTTGAATGCCTGCTACTGGCTATGTGTGTATTCTTGTATCAAGCCTTGGATAACTGTCTTGTTGATGGTCAGGATTTGTTGTTGCCTAGGGGCATGTCAAAAGGAGACTTGTTTGGAGATGCTCATTGATCAGTAATATTGACTTCACTCAGTCATTTTTTTTTTTCCTTCCCTAGGAAGTTTACTATATGTAATGCAAAAAAAACCCCCAAAAAATGAAAAAAACAAAACCCTAACCCATAAGTCTATTTCTACCTCAGTGTAGCTAGAGGCAGACAGAAGTGACTGAAATGTTATTTTATCCTCTAGCAACCTCAGAGGTTATGTTTTTGTTGTGACAGTGAGGCTTGATTATAGTAATTTCTGCAACACAAACCTTAAAGTAGGACATCTCTCCAAATTTCAGAAGGCAGTGGTCTCTCACTGGTCTTATCTGTAGTTATTTGATCAGATAGGTTATTTCTTGTTTTAAGGTGGTTACCTATACACTTGAATTTTATTTTTTTTAAATTGGCAGTAGATGGTTTCAAACCTGAGAACAGTTGGGTATGAATTTTGTACAAGACATAGTCCTAAGGAAGTGGTTACAATTTGATTAATGCTTGGATTTTGCTATATGCCTTTGACCTTCAAATTGCATCTTTTAACCAGTGAACTGTAAGATACGTCTTTTTCATTCTGGTGTCTATTAAATCTTGTTAATTTACTTTAAAAATTTAAAAAGTTTTCCTTGTACCCATCATATATCAAGTTTATAAATTTTTTTCTTGAACAGTCTTCCTCATGCCTCTGCAAGCAATAAATGTATAAAAATAACACTAGTCCAAGCTCCTCGCTGGGCTTGTGGGAGAGCTTGAAGGAAAAGGAGAAAGATCTGTATACTGGTGCTTGTCTGCTGATACTGTATGGTAAAACCAGGAACAGTCGTGGCAGCAAAGACTCCTGCATGTTGTGTTGTTCTCAATATATGTGCATTATAGATCAAATCCTTGTCTCCGAACAAATCTGTGAATTGGTTGGTTTATGCCAATGTCAGCATTGAGTGTCTCATTACTTTTAATAAAATAGAAACCAGAGTATGAGCCAGTTATCATACTGAGGGGTCTGTAAAAAAAGTCTGCCAGTTGCAAGGAGTTGGCAAAGAGAGTTCAGCCTAGTGGCTTGCACTTTTTTTTACTGTTTCTTTAGTCCTCCATGTTTGAGATGTGCCCACTTAAGCAAAACTGCTGATAAGCAAGCATTACTCAAAAATTACCAAAATGGTCTTTGTAAAACTTCAGTGACTTGGTGTGAGTACCACCTCAAAGGTGATGTTTAGCTTTTTTCCTTTTTTCTTTTCTCCTGACCAACATGCATGTGAAATATGTGTGAAATAAGGTGAAAAATAATTTTTCACAGTAAATGAGGATTTTGCATCGTATTATGTTATTTGTAGATACAATGTCACGTGCGTAATGTACCTGTATAAAGAGCAATGACTCCATGGGCACTACGGGTATGATCTAACAACATAAGCAAAATATATCTGTATACGGAATTACTCAAAGGCAGTGTGGAGGAGGATATTGGAATATTTAGCTAGAAAGTTGTTAAGCTTTGCTTTTCTTGTTTCCATGCAGTAGGTCTCCAGATGAGCCAAAGTTACACCCAACAAATAGGGAAGGAAAGCTGTTACCTTGTTACCCTTATAAACAAGGATAGCTACATGCTTGCAAAAAGGTCATACTTTTAAGTTTTTAGTATTTAGAAAAATATTCTGCTGGGTAGAGGAAGCATAAAACCTATATATTTGATGCTGGTAAAGGGCTAGCACTACAAAAACTGACTTGTGTTTGTGCTGAGTATTTTGAGTCTGGTTTTTGGACAGGAGTTCGTGTTCTGGCTTGCTTCTCAGTTGATGAAATTTTCCAACTAGTTTGGATATCTAGAGTCTTACATCTATCTTCTTTTCCTTGAATGTAGATAGCAGAGACAACTCCACTAGAAACAAACTTGTCTGTCTTGGATTCTTAAGTTGGTATTTTTGAATTGTCAGTCCCTTTTTTCACACAAAATCTGTTGCTTCTCCCTTATTTCATAAGGGATATAGACCCTCAAAATTATTTTTCAGTGCATTAACTGGATAATTCTTACTTTGAGCAATTTAATTTAATCTTAAATTATTTAACTTTTAAAATCTGGTTTTTAAATAGGAAACTTTACTTGACGTGTTCTGTCATATTATTTCAGTACTGCACGCAGCAGCAATTTCACACGACTTTGCTTATTATACTTCCCTTGTAATCTGAAGCTGCTATAGGAAGTTTCATTGTATAAATCAGTTTTGCATCCAACTATTTCTGTAACTGGCATGCTGTCAAGTGATGACAGAAAAGAAGCCTATGAAGGTAAGTAATACTTCTAAAAGGTGCATCTGAGTCATGATACCAAGGAATCGATTTTTCCTCTGTGTAATTG